TAAAATTTCATTCAAACAAATGACTTCGTGGCTTTACTGTCTCTTTGCAGTCTTGTGCTGGGTTTGTGATGACTGATCCTATGGCTAGAAATGGGACTGAAAATCTAATAACAGGCCATTGGATACATTCTGCAGCATCATAAAGCCTCTCCTGCAGTGCCACAAGCAGGAAAAAAAGCCTGTCTGGATGGAGACAAACACCTGGCTGAGGAAATGGACCTTGCAGCATGTCTTGAAGGTTTGTGTATTTGGACAGCTAAAAGAAAGGGGGTTCCCAGCAGCACCTGTCTCTGAAACTGCTTTTCTGCTCCCAGTCTTCAAAATCTAAACATAAGGTTTAGGAGAAGTTGTGACTCCAGAAATTGTGACCAAATACCAGAGTGCACAATGTGCAGCATATAAGGGATATTCCACTTCTTACGCTGATACCTTTTGCTATAGGAGAAAGGAGGGTAATTCTTAAGCTGAATAATGTCCCTTGTCACCTGCGTGTGGCTCCTATGAATGGTTTCTACCACGTTCCTTCCCTTCCCCCAGAACTGAAGTGAAGAGCAGCAGGAAAGCACCCTGCCTTGGGCACTGGAGAAGGACGAGGTGATGCAGCACATTGCAGTTCTGCATGAGGTCAGCTAAACAAATTGATGACAACGTCATGTCCTCACGCTAGTCAGGCTGATCCTTAAATGGAGCATTAATAATGTGATTGGGTCCACTGTGTACGTGGAAAATTGCCCACTCCTTGCACGTTGCCAGAATCAGGCTGCAAACTAGCAAACAATGATTTCTGAGCTTGGAGCTGTGATGCCCTTGGATGCATCAGCCTGAAAAAACAGCCTGCTCAAGAACCTCAATGCATATCAAGGCATCACATAGGTGTATGCTGCCTTAGGCACAGAATAGGTAAAACAAAGTGGGATTCATCTCTGTGATACCAGTTGTTCATCACTACGTGCTAAATGCACTCACTCTTCAGCAATTCAGAAGTCGTGCACGGGGATGGGGGGTGGTTGCTGGATTCCTATGTGGTTGAGACAGCAGAGGTGATCTTATAAGGCTTACACGTGTAATTCTTTAAGAGAATTCAGGATCTGCAGATGAATGTAGATGACAGCAAGGCGTGACTGCACAGTACATATGCTTGAATAACTTCACACTTAGACTAATGTGAAGAGAATCGAGGCATTCCTGTTCTGATACAAATTTATCCATTTGTGCAACACGGATGTGTCTGGATGCCGTGCCTGGCAGGCTACAGAAATGTAAGTTAAAAACATTTCCAAGTTCATTCCATATATGATTCTCATACTGTCTTGTAGCTGCCTTTCAGGAATCTTCCAGTGACACACAGTGTTGTTTCTTTGCCTGCTGGGCTTGGTTCTCTGCCCCCCAGAATGAAACAGGCTGTTACAGCTAACTGAAGAGCTGCTTGCTGGCTCTGCTCTCTCATCTGCCCCTCTGCCACAAGCGCCTTTCTGTCTGCTGCTGAATTTTAGTGTCAAAGAGAGAGTAAGAATGAAATTGTTTCACGGCCTTACCACTTTGGGCCTTTATCACAAGCTGTGGAATGAAATGAGTGTACTCTGCAATTACAGGATTTGCATCCTTAGACATCCTGGTCAAGCAGTCTATGTCCACTCTTCTCCCAGTCATAAACCCCCTCCAGTTTTAAGCCAAATATGACAATGGCTAAACCTCTGTTCACCATAACAGCCCCTCTTACAGAGTTCATTTCCTACAATTTCATTGCAGGGTCCATGTTTAATGGGAAAGTTCATGAGTAAAAAAATTTCAGAGTTTCAAAGATATGAAGTACTCAGTGCTGCTACTGGTCCAGTACAGATGATAAAGCTAGAAAATTCTTTGCTGCCTGAAGCCTGCTCGTGCAGTTTACGCAGCCTTATAGAGAGGGGAGAGTACAGAGCAGTATTGGTGGGTATCTTTTGCTCTCCGTGCATGCTCAGCAGCCTGGCAAACGTGAGCTCTTGTTTCCTCTTTGCACACAGTGGATCTGACCACGACAGCACACACTGATACGTACAGATGCTGGTAAGCAGACTCAGATAAGCCTTTCAATCTGTTTTGGCAGCTTGAATGATTACCAGGAGGAAAGAGAAGAAGCCCTAAGCAATATATCCTGCATAAAGATTATGACTTGAGATCTAAAGTCTGTCTGCACCGAGATAGCTGAGGTAGCCACTTTGAGATAATGTCAGTGATAGCTTGTCAGTTATTTTTACTCATTTGTTGGATTAGGTGGGTGGAGAGAGCAAAATTCAGGTAATTCATATTTCTTAAAGAATCTGTGGATTGCTGCCTAAAGCAGCTTGTGTCTTCCTGCCTTTTCTATGAGTTCTAGGTCTTGTATTGCAGTTGTTACTCTTCTTTCCTAAACAACTGAAAATGCATCTTTTCATCCCAGAGTGTATCTGGGGCACCCACATCCCAGTATGTGTGCAGTCTGTAACATTAGGAGTGGCAATGGAAGAAGTTAAAGCATCTCTTTATGCTGCTTATAGAGATATTAGGTGTGCTTTGTGTTTGAAAGGCGCTGAAGCAACATCAGACTGAGAATTAATGCTGACAAAATCAGTGCCAGCACAGTCATGTAAATTTTGTATTTGTGGAAGCTGAAAGTATGTAAGTAGAAATATGGAAAATTAGAGGAATCATGTTCCTATCATGCATCAGTCTTTTGGAGCACTAGAGCATGGACTGTAGGAGAAAGTCTTCTCATGGCTGAGTCCTAGTCTGTGATAAAGAAAAAGGTTAAAACACCCTGGGGTTCACTCAACTGCTCTTAAATTATTTTTCAGTAACACATGGAGCTTGCTGTAACCCCACTACAAAGCTGCTAGATGGACGTATATTGTGGTCCTCTCTAATTGTTGTTCTCTGGATGGCACTAGACAGAACCTATCATTAATAAAACAGCTCTCTCAAAAGGTTTGGAATATTCCTGTTGGAACATTACAGACGTTTTTCCCCTCTCCTGCCTGTCTAATAGCAGTACCAAAGGGTCACTGATCTCTCAAAGGAATCAAGGAAGCCATTTGGGGTGCATCAGTGCAGCTATTAATGGAATACATTAACTGAGATCCGTATCAGTCAGTGGATGGGATGTTGGACAGAGATTCAAGCTAGATGGTTTCCCTCTCCTCCTGGTGCTGGTGGCTGCACCAACGTGCCTCGGTTTCCCTTTTGTAGAATGAAGATAATGAATCTTACTTCTTTATAAAGCCCTGTAAGGACTATTAGTTATAATTTTAAAACATAGCTTCTATAACATTAAGACAGGTCAAGGCTGAAAGCAATTTGAAAGATTAGCAATCAGTCATGTTGACTATTTAAGTGACTGCCCTGTTGGAGGTATGTTAAATGAGCTGATAAGTGGATATCACTCAAGCTGGTTCTGAAAAGTGGTCAGATAGAAATTAAATCCTTAATTTTTTAAAAAGATACCTTCCAAATACAGCAAAAAACAACTTAAGCTGATTCTCAAACATTGAGGTTGCTTGAAATGTTCAGCCTTTAACTTAGCATAATGTATCCTGTGAAGCCTCAGGAAAAGTTTTGGAAAAGAAGGTTGGGAGGAGAGTGTGTTTCTTCTGCATGAATGACTGTGTAGTTTGCCTCTGCACTCAGAGAGGAAAGTGGAAATAATCATGGTTGGGGAAAAAACCCAACAGAAATATTATATGCATTACCTATCTTACTTCCAAGTGCTAAAGCACTAATTACTAGCAGTAATCTAATAAAAGCTATAAGGGTTTTCTAAATAGTTTTTCAAGATCTTGTAATAAATCCCTTAATAGAGCAGTAAATTTAGCAAAGTGTAATTAGTCAGTAATCAATATCGAGCAAACACTAGTTGTAGACTTAGGAAGAGCAAAGGTTCTTTGTGTTTCTGTTTACTTGTACCACATGCAGGAAGCCTCCAGAGACAAAGTACCTACAAATACAGCCTACAGAAGAGGGAAGGTATTTGAACTGTCAGGTAAGAATCTGGAAACGGTGAGGTGTGAGTCATGGACATGGAGAATTAATGTAAGAACAGAGAAATAAAATGTGGGAGACACCTCCATTTCCCCAGAGCTCAGTCTGTCTCCTTAAGGCACTTTCTGAGCACCTCAGACCTCTGTTACTTTAAGTCTGGAAACTGAATCTTGATCTGCTTTAAAACCGTGTCCCTTTAATAGGCTCTTGGTGCAGTGCTTCCCTCTGATACCTCTGATAATATTGTATTCCTTTTTTTTTTTTACCTTAATGCAGTCTAGTCTATTTTAGTGCAAACAATAGACCCTTCATTACCATTAAGAACTGCAGTGTTTATCTTTAATTTTGAGGCTGTGTGCTGATATTTACATAGGGAAGGTGATTTATTCAATGTTATAGCATTGCTGATCTAATAGAAGCATAAAAATACTCTCTGCATTTTTCAATACTAATTATAGATGGCTGTTTAATCTAGTCATTGTAAGTGCATAGTGTACTTATATCCATAGTGCACAGGCTGCAAAAATAGATGGATCTGCTGGGCTAATGCAGCAAAGACATATTGTTCTTTCTTCCTCAGCAGGCAACCATAAGAATTTCATCTTGTATCATAACTGGCAAAGCAATATGAGTAGAAAGGTAAAATAAGCTATTTGAAGTATTAAGAAATTTACAGATAAAGAGATTCTATTTTGATTTTTTTTTTTAATTTACATATATAATTAACTATAGAGACCAAGTCAAACCTCATTGATTTTTCTTGGAGGAGGAAGACAACCAGAATCTCTAAAGGTGAAAAAAAAAAGCCCCACTCTTTCATTCATGAGAGAAGTCTATACTAGATATTTTACCACAAATAACAAAAGGCAGAGAAATAAAGAAAACATTCTCCATTTGTCATATAAAAGAATTAGAGAGTCTGTACTGTATGTACTGATAGTCAGAAACAAAACATAAATAAACCTAACCTTGGTACAAGGGGTTAGAAAGAGCAGGCAAGGACTTACCTAATGCCTCTGTCTTGAGAATGTGCAGGGAGAAGAGAACAAGGAACAGCAATTCCATTATCTATTTTAAATAGGCTCAGTGTCGAAACCAGAATTGATTAGACTTCTTAGTATGTGATCATATTTCTGCTCTCAGTTTTATACTGGAGTAAGTAGTCCTGGACAGACCTGAAAGCCATAGCCAGGAAGGTGAACTCCTCCCCTTTGTAATTTCTCCAGATTTACCCTACTCCTGATTTGCCTAAATTTATTCATTTCTCCAGAATGAATGGCAAAAGGAATAAGGTTTTCTAGCACTAAGCAAGTAGCCTGTAGTGAATAACTGGTACTTTGCAACCTATGCACCTTCAGTAACCTATTACTAAAATGCTACATTTTTATTTACTTTTCCTTTTTTTCCTGACAGCCCACATGCCATTCGATTAGCTGTGAATGTGTGTGTTAAGGTTAATGTTTTGTTTCAAAAAAACCCAATGAAACAAAGGAAAACCCAACTCCCTCACCCCACCGTGCCTACCCTGCAACCCTCCAAACAGCTGCTCAGGGCTGGAGCAGATCTGTGAGACTGGAAAATGGGACTTCTGTGTGCAGGAACAGGAAACGTGACATACCAACACCTTACTCATATATGCTTTTGCATTTAGGGAATTAATGAAGAGCACGTTTTTTTATTTGGTTTGGAGCGGTTTTGTCCTTTTTTTTTTTTGTTTAAATAATACTTTTTCTTAACTTTCCTGCTTCTAGTACTATAGTATAACAACCCTCCAAACAGCTGCTCAGGGCTGGAGCAGATCTGTGAGACTGGAAAATGGGACTTCTGTGTGCAGGAACAGGAAACGTGACATACCAACACCTTACTCATATATGCTTTTGCATTTAGGGAATTAATGAAGAGCACGTTTTTTTATTTGGTTTGGAGCGGTTTTGTCCTTTTTTTTTTTTGTTTAAATAATACTTTTTCTTAACTTTCCTGCTTCTAGTACTATAGTATAATATATGCAAATTTATTTTCTTTTCCTGTTGCCTTTACTTTCCTATCTGAATGCTTTAATTCCATGTGTCTGATTCAGGCTTTATGTTCAGCAAACAAAGGCGTGTACGGAAAAGTGGCGCTACGATTTTTTTCTCCATAGTCTCTATTACAGACATAATCATCTTTTCATTCAGGGTTGGATTTTGATACAGCTGGGGAAGATGAAAAAGGGGAGTGCAACTTCTTCTTCCCCTTCCCCAAAAGCTTCTCTGTCCGTGGGAGTGCAAGAAGAAGAGCAGGATGCTCGATCTGGTGCTTCTCCATGAGGGGATGGGCAGAGCGAAGCAGCATTATGCTGACTGCACTGAGCAAGGCTGGTCATCCAGCAAGGGCTGGATTTAAAAAAACAAAAAGGAGCCAAGAAAGTGCTGCTTGCCTTTACCACGAGCTGCAGGCTCCCAGGTGAAGAGTATGGCCATTCTGCTGTTAGTAGAAGGGTCGCACAGGATCAGGATCTGGAATAACAAGGGGAAATCTGACAGCTGACTTATGAGCAGGTCTTTTATTCATAAAAAGGATGGCTATAAATAACATTCCAACAATGAAGATTTGCTGGGTAGTGTTTTTCCATCCTGGATTAGGTAGATTAAAGCACGAACAGACGATGATTTGCCTAGCACATGGTGCTAAGATAAATAGTTGCTGCAGTGACAAGAACAATAAGGGAATTTGTTGCGTTTTTTAACTTCCTAGTGGGGCAGTCTCGGTGGAGCTATCTAAGCAAGGTGCATGCTGAGCACGTAGAGAGGAACGGGGGCGTGAACGTGGCAGCCACAGGCAGTGGCAGCCTTCAAGGGCACCTACAAGACATTTTACTTTTGGGCTTTTCTCCTTTTCTTTACCGGGGATGGTCTTCAGTGGGGCAGCTGAACCAAGCTCTTGGATGAATTTTTTTCCTTCTATTTGTGTTTAGTTCTCTGAAAGCTAAAAGTCTGCTGGAATCTCACTGTTTAAGACTGAAAAGTCTGAGGGTTATAGATTTCGATCTTGAAATTCAAGATTCTTGGGTTTGGTGTTTTTTTTTTTAATTTATTTTTTTTTCCTTCTGTAGACCAGCCAGCCAGTCATTATTAAAGTGGTAATAAATTGCACTGCGGTTATTTTAACTAAGTTTTTGTTTGTGCTAGAAAGTGAAGGTAGGCTCAGGGAAAGGCATTCCCTGTCCTTATGAGACCTGTAACCTCAATAAGCAGGGCAGAGAACATGTGATCTCTTTTTTCATTTTTTCCAAAAGAAACTCACCTGACGGGTGCTTCGTTATTAGTTCTCTATGCCATCTTTGCACCTAGGGATATTTTTCAAAGGAACTGCACTCTGGGTGGGTTTTACATAAAGGCCTTTGGACATTGAACCTGAATACCTGGAGGATGTTGGTCAGAGAAGCTGAGAGATAAAGTTATGCAGGGAGTCTATTGCAGATCGTTGAACTCAAGGCTGCTTTTTCCCGGCATAATGATTGCAATTGTTCCCATAGGTACAGGATAGATAAGAACAGGAAGGAGTTATCAAAACCAGTGAAAACTGCGATTATTTTGTAGCTTGGAGAGCTGCAGCAGCAGCAAAGATTTAGGAGATGCTCCCCCCCAGCCTGGTTTCTGAAATGCGTGAGCTCTGACACTAGCCTGCTGCTACCAAAAGGGCTTCAGGGGAAGTTGGGAGAGACTGACGTGACAGCTAATGAAGCTTCCATGTGTCTGAGCCAAACGATCCTACCATGTGCTGAGGAAGTCGAGAGCTGTTCCTAACCTTCCAGCTGAGCAGTCCCACCACATTCCAGCAGCACAGACAGGGGAGGATGAGGGGAGGATGAGGGCAGGCTGGGTCTGACGCCGTGGCACAAATGCATAGGAGTCCCAGTCAAAGCCAAGGTGGTGGCACAGCTTGTTGTGCTGGGAGGCTGAGCTGTTGCTCTTAGAAGGACGATCTGAAGCTTGTGAGGGTCCGACTGATTTGAGTCCAAACCCTGTTTGTGGATGAGCTGACCTGGGAGGAATTGTCCCTGCAGTGGGATAGGGAAGAACTTCCAAGAGACTTAAAACACAGATGAATTTCGTGATTAATGACTGGTTGATTGGGAAACCTGCTCTTCAGAGTGAGAGAGCACACTAAGTGATCTTCATGTACTTGTGTGTTGTAATTGCCTTCGTTGGAGTTCCCTGACCACGAACAGGAAATCTGGAATTTCATGAACAGTAGCTCTTGGTGAATCAGAGACATCAGCTCTTCATCTTTCCTGTGAAAATGTGATTTGGCTGTGATTCTCCCTGAGTCTGCTCTATCGGGAACCTTCTTCTAATACAAGGTCATTTCCAGTGGGACAGTAAGAAGCATTTTTTCAATGGCTCTTTATTTGGCCTGCTCAGCTCTGGTGCATTAACTGCTTACTCTCTATTTTTGGCTGTACCTCAGGATTAGACCCCGTATTATGTGATGTCATCATTAGTAAAGCTGAACTTCTCTCATTTTCCCAGTATTTATGTAAAGCACCATTCTTTATGTGGAAGAATAGCCTTCAGTCGGCGAGTGATGGAACACCAGGAGTGTGCAATCCAACTTTTCCTAGAATTATGAAGGTGTGTTCTGAAGGATGGGTGTCTCTCAGCTGTACATTTAGCTCTGTGTGTTCACAGCCTCTCTAGTTACTTTGCCTGGTTTGAAGCACACGTGTTTCTGATCATTGCTTTCTTGTAAGAAGAGTCCTCATCATGCCCTGGTAGCTGGTTAGTTCAGAAGGAAGATGCCCTTTGTGTGGACCGTTTCTTGTCTTAAAGGGTTAAGATGCATTCTGGCTTCTTTACAAAGAAATTATCATTGGAAGGCTTTGTTTACCATACAACATTAGTTTCAGGTATTTATCAGTGCTTGTCTCCCTTTAGACAACCTGATACAAGCTCCTCAAAGGGGAAAACAACAGTTCTGGCATCTCAGAGAAATGCTCAGGCTCTGCACAGATGGAGAGAGGGCCTGGTTTGTGGGGTGTTCTTGCAACAAGCTGTCCTTGCCATTATTTTGTGGCTTGTAGCTAACATAATGCTAAACTGCAGTCGGAGACATTCGATTCTGATGATTTTCTTCACTTCATGTTCCTGGTAAGGGCCATGAAAGCGTAGCTGGGACATCAGATAACACGGAACTTGTGAGGCAAAAATTCCTCAAAGAGAGTGGGGGGGGGGGGGAGGAGTGGAGAGCTTTCTGTTATGAAAACGTCTCCGAGAAATCTTGGAAGGAGATCATACATCCCATTTGTGTCTTCCTCTCCAAAGAGGAAGACTTTAATCTGCATAAATTAAAACATAAATTGGATAAATAGGCGTCTTATTTGTATTGCTCCCTTTCCTGAATGCTCCGTGTGTGCAGGCCTCATGATACCTGTTGACAGACTGAGCAGATGGATGGTCTTGTCTCAAGGCTTTGCTGAAGGTCATGGCAAGTGGGAATTGATTTCCCTCAATACTTAGCCAAGCTGCCTGTCACTTGCCATTTTTTGCCTCAGATTGTGTGTTGTCTCCAGTTTGGTAAAGTGTCTAGTTGGAGTGGAGAGGAACTGAGGAGAAAGCTGGATGGTTGCATTCCACCACAAATAAGGCTTGGTGTCTCAAGAATGGAAGTAGCAATTGGATCTGATTTCAAGAAGAATGTGGCAGGAAAGAAACCAGAACAGTAAAATCCCTTCAGTGCCTTGTTTTTCTTGTGTGTATAGTGTATGTACATGACTTTGACAGTAACACCACATCATCTGTAGCTTAATTGTGCTATGGAATTCTTATTTTCATTACCTGGATGCAGCTTTTTCTCCTGCAGTGTCAGGCATAACTCAAGTTTCTTGGGGTACTATCGGCATAAAGGACACCACACTAAGGTAAAAGTGTATGTTGTCCAAGGGTTACTGCACAGGATTAAAATCCCAGCTCCTGAACTTAATTTCCTGTTTTGAAATCAACTTTGCAGTGTCACAGCTGGGGCATGTTGTGCTGAGCACTTGTGATTCCTGATGAGGTCTGAGCGCTGCAGGTTATCAGCATTTCTGAAGCTGCAAGTGCAGTCGTGTGAAGTTAGATTTTCCACAACAGCCACTTGAAATTAATGGTCATTAAAAATTCAGCCTGAAGCTTCCCGTGTCTCTTTCTCAGTCTCTTCAACACGTTCAGTGATTATTGTGTTCTCCGCAGGCATAATCCTCAGATAATTATTATTGAACTTTGAGATTCCCTACAAAATAATGTCATTTCCTACTCATGACAAATAGCAATGTGGGCATTCAGATAAAGAAATATGAAAACAATCATAGAACTCAAAAGTGCTGGAGAAGGTGAAATCTAGATACATATCAATCAAAGTTTTGCCAACTGCAAGGTACAGGCAGTGTTTAAAGTGTCAGCCTGAGATATAGGAGATTAGATTCAGTTCCCTCTGTACTGCACCTTTGCCTGATCTTAAGCAAATAATACGATTGTTCTTTTCCCACTTGTAAAGCGCAGATAACACTCTTTCCTTGCAGGTGAGATGTGAGCTTAAGTACCAGAAAGATTGCAAAGTTCCCAGAAGTATAAGAATATCCTTTAATCAAGATTGCTATAGGCATAGATTTGGCTACGGAGTAGCCCTGTCTCACACAGTGTTTTCAATTCAAACCCCTTTTCATCTGTTTTTGAGAGCTCAAACTTCATTACAGAGGGTTGGAATATACAAATCAGGGCTTTTTTGTGTGTACTGAAGCACATTTAAAAAAGCAGTTTCCACAATAATATTCTCTCCTTTAATCTCGCAACATTATGCTAATTTTTATGCAATTATATTAGGGAAATAAGATTACAAAGCTTTTGTGAAGAGCTATTTGTACTAATTGATATTATTTTTAATTATGTTCTGATCTCGTGTCATTTAGTGTTTCGTGCTTGAGCACCAAATTTTCAAATTAGAGAAAATTCGAGTAGCACTTTCAGGAATATCTAGGGCACTTTAGAGCCCAGGTTCACGGAGAAACCCTTCTTAGTAACTAGGTTATTTCTGAAGCTGTGACACTTTGTGGATAAACTGCTGTTCCTCACCCCCCTCTGCCCCTCCCTCTGTTCACAGAGCCACCCAAAACACCATGGGAAGAGATGAGGAGTGTGTGTGCCTTGGTTTGGTGTCCTCTCTGCCCTTCCTGACCGATGCTGGGCTGTAGGTGACCTCCTGACATTCTGGCTGGTGTGGAAAGGACGTGCTGAGTCCTGGTGCTGACAAGGTGACACAAATAGTGGAGTCCTTGGTCAGCAGCAACCTCACACCAAAGGTGGGGCTGACAAAGCCTGTGTGAGGTTCCTTATAGGATGCACAAAGACTCTAACACTTTTGAGAAGACTAATTTATAGGATATTAATACACCAGCAGGCTGGTTTAATCACTTTTCATCCTTTATTTCTATATAATCATTCTTTCCACTTCCCTGTGACCATCTGAAATACCTTCTACTTATAGAATCATAGAATCATAGAATGGTTTGGGTTGGAAGGGACCTAAAAGATCATCTAGTTCCAACCCCCCTGCCATGGGAGGGGGGTTGCATAAAGTACATCTAGTATATAATAATTGTGTGCTACTAATTGCACACAAACCTGAAGTTACTTTCATACACTTCAACTTTATCAGAAAAATAGAAGCTACAGAGTTTTCCTTTTAAGCTCAACATTTTAGCAGAAATTTCTTTTGTTGTAAATTCTGGCAGAGCTATCATGTAGTTCACAGATTTACAATTTTAAAGCTGGAATTGCTGCTAAAATGGTTGGGCAGCCTGGTCTAGTGGGAGGTGTCCCTGCCCAGGGCAGGGGCATTGGAACTAGATGATCTTTTAGGTCCCTTCCAACCCAAACCATTCTATGATTCTATGATCAGATGTGGGCACTCAATGTGGAAAGCCCATAAACTCAGCTGAGCTGCTGCTGCAGTATTATGGTATAAAATTGGTACTAAAGCAAATTAACTCTTTGTTAGGAGAACAGTAAAAAAAAATTAACTCAGCATAACTTTGTAAGCAGCGTGGCTTTACCTGGATAAATTTGCTAAAGGAAAGCTTGCAAAAACTGGCTGCTCAGCTGCAAATAGATGCCAGGTACCAGGCTGGAGATTTCTCCTTGTAGGTGGGCACGTTGAATAAAACGTAGGGTGACACAGAGGCGACCCCCACTCAGCACTAGCAAATAAAAGCAGCCACTTCTGTGAAGAAAAAATATCCACGGTGCTGTTCATAGTGTGATACTGTTGTGCTCTGCTCACCTCGGCCACACTGGTTAAAATCCCCCATTCCCCACTGTGTACTGGGTTGTTTGCTCCAGCAGTGCCCTCTGCTGTCTGACAGCGTTGAATGTATGCCCAAAAAGCTTTTTTTTTGCCCCGAATTTCAAGTATTTTCCATCTGGTTCTCAAAAATTATTTACCTTTAAAAAGACACAGAAAGGAAAGATATAATGATATTATGTTGGCTTATTAATGGACAAGTTACACATCAACTTTAAACAAGCAGATGCAGAATATCCTGTAACAAAGGTGTGAGTATAAATGCCTGTTATTTTCTGGCAACATTCTCATCCGAGGATTAAGGTGGAAAAATGGCATTATCAGAACTACTTAGGCATCTTAGTCTCTGATAAAATTAATCTACTAAAGCCATTCTCCTACATTTCCTTGGTTGACAAGAATTAATTCAACAACTCTTTGATTACATCTCTTTTTTTTTTTTTTTTGGCTTGTAAGGCATCAGCACCTCAGATTTACTGAAGGAGTAAGAAAGGTTATACAATTTCAGGCGTATTCTGACAACTTCTGGGTACTCCAGTACTCATTATGGATATTTCTGTGGGCCCAAGCACAAGAGCATCTGTGGAAAAAGAAACTCTGCCCTTTTTGGATCCCCCTTGAGGTGCTGCAGTTCATGGTATGGTTTTTCTTGCAAGTGTGGGGTTTGTTCTGTAGATATGACCTGACTGGGCTTAGAAAAACAGTTGCCTTTGGCCACGTGGATTTGTAATTGTCAGCAAGAGGCAGTGAACAGCTCAGTGCTGTTGTCTCTTGCTCAGTCAAGAGCATTTAGAAGTTTTGTGATGTCACTAGAGTTGATCTGAAATTAGGACTTCCATCCTTCACTGAACTGAGGTCCAGGTCAGTGACACCACAGTGATGTTCTTCGATCCCAGCAGTCACATCCTCCCCACCTCCAAGACCAGAAAAAGACTGCTCTCTGTTTTCTGACTCTCTAGTTGATCCCAGCAGTCACTACTCCCCACCTCCAAGACCAAAACAAGACTGCTCTCTGTTTTCTGACTCTCTAGTCCTTTATCTAACAAACCTATTTGTGAATTAAAGCAGAATTCACGGTCATTCCATTTTAGAATATCCTCAAAGACTTGTAAACCACTGATGTGGTCTTTCCTCTTCCCAAGAACTGGCCAGATTTTGCTGGAGATAAAGGCTGTTTAAGCGAATCATCTGTGTAGTAGTAAATATGCTTTCCACTTTTGGCTCTCCTAGCAACTGAAAGGTAATTGGCTGAGCTCTGAGTTGGTAACCCAAATATTTAAAAACACGAGTGGTTAAAGTTTAATCCACTGTCACGCTGGTGATGTGGCAGTAGAAGCTGTGTGTCAGGATTCATTCTTCTCCTGGAGAACGAGGTGGCAGGAACGCTCGCGTGGTTCGGTCTCGTACGGAACACGGGATGAGTAAAGCAGACCTCGTTAGGGGTTGAAAGTAGGATCTTCCACCATGAATGGATACCCCAACTGCTCTGCCAACCACACCAAAATTTGGAGTCATGATTTAGTGCTTGTGCTGGGCATCCCCCAGCTGACCATTAACATAGCGTCCGTGATCTTCAACTGCACGGTCATCTTCACCAGGATGGCCACAAAGGATCTGCACAAGCCCATCTCTGTGCTCTTCTGCAATCTGGCTTTTTCTGATCTCTTCACCAGCTTTTCCGGCTTTTGGATTTCGATGCTGTTCATCACCAATCCTGACATCACCATCTTTGGATCCAAGGATATGCTCGCACCTTATGCCTTCTATACGGTGTCGATTTTATCCACCATCTATAACTTGGTGAGCATTGGAATTGAACGTTACCTGGCCGTGGCTGAAAGCATGAGGACGAGATTCAGGGTTACCAGAAACCACTCCATAGCTGCGGTTTTAATTAACTGGGTCCTTGCTTTCTTTTTGGGCTGCTTGCCCTTGATGGGGTGGAACTGCTTGCAGATGGAAAAAAACCTCTCTGTCCTCTACAGTCCGTTCTGCGTTGACTACCTCATCTTCATCACCATTCCCAATGTTGTGGTGGCTTTTATTATACCTCTGTTCACCTACCTTAGAATCATTATCATTTTGAGGAAAAGAAAGCTGAGAATGAAAGCGTGTGGACAAGCCACCGGCACCTACAAATCAGCCGAAATCCAGGTTGCCAGAACCAGTATTTTTATCTGGCTCCTGGCGTTGATCTCCTACGCCCCTTTTTTCGCAGGGGTCATATTCGATGCAACCAACCACCAGTGCCACGTTGATCTCTACCCGGGCGTCTACATCTTCCGAAACTGCACGGCGATCCTCATCACCATCAACTGCTTGGGGAACCCCATCATCTACACCCTGAAAGCCAAAACCTTGGGGGCGAAGCTCAAGGCTCTCAAATGCCTCTCCACCAACCGCATTCGAGCCTGCACCATTGAGAACGTCTAGCGGGGGACTGCCCTTGCCCCAGGACTGTCCTCATCCCTGGAGACTGTCCTTGCTCCTGGAGACTGTTCTTACCCCTGGAGACTGTCCTTGCCCCAGGACTGTCCTTGCTCCTGGAGATTGTCCTTGCTCCTGGAGACTGTTCTTGCCCCTGGAGATTGTCCTTGCCCCTGGAGACTGTCCTTGCCCCTGGAGACTGTCCTTGCTCCTGGAGACTGTCCTTGCTCCTGGGGACTGTCCTTGCCCCTGGGGACTGTTCTTGCCCCTGGAGATTGTCCTTGCCCCTGGAGACTGTCCTTGTTCCCGGAGACTGTCCTTACCCCTGGAGACTGTCCTTGCTCCTGGAGACTGTCCTTGCCAACTGGAGACTGTTCTTGCCCCTGGAGACTGTCCTTGTTCCTGGAGACTGTTCTTACCCCTGGAGACTGTTCTTGCCCCTGGAGACTGTCCTTGCTCCTGGAGATTGTCCTTGCCCCTGGAGACTGTCCTTGTTCCCGGAGACTGTCCTTACCCCTGGAGACTGTCCTTGCTCCTGGAGACTGTCCTTGCCCCGGGGCTGCCGCCGTGTCCGTGCGATCGGAGCTCCGGGGGCGGTTCAGCACCAGGCCCGTGGACAGCTCCGGGGCGCGGGAAATTAGCGCGGGAAAAACAGCGCCGGGCGCGGGAAACAGCGCGGGTCCCTGCTCTGGAAGAAGGGGGGGTGCTGGTCTCAGCATCTTCCATGGTCTGTGGGGCCGGGAATGGGGCGCAGCACGGCGGCCCTTGGCACCTCGTCCCGGTGTGTCCGGCCTCAAACGGAGCCCACGGAGCTGTTTTGCTGGGAGATAAAAATAACTCCATTATCCGTGTTTGCTTTGGCTTTGGAAACGGGCTGCTGTTGTGTGTGTGCTTTGCTGCCCGGGGTCACCTCCTGCACGTCGCGCTTTTCTGGTTTGGAAGGCAGTTAAACGGCCAGAAAACGTGGGGTGCTGTGGGGGAAACGCAGTTTTACTTTCTCATTTAGAGGCAGTCCAATTGTATCTTTGAATATTTGATGAATCTCTTTATTAACGGGGGCACTCAGCACGGGTTCGCTGATGTAATTCGAATTTTAGCTGCAGTATGTACCTGCACCACGTGGGCTTTGTGAGCAAATTGTGACTGCCCTTTTCCTATTTCTGCTTATAAACAGAGGTGTGCTTGAGTCTGTGGCTTTTGGAATTTGAGTGGCTTTAGGAGAAAAATCTCCCTCGAACTCTTTAGTATCAGAATCACAGTTTCCTGTGCAAAACAAACCCAAATAAAAATGTTAAGAGTAAGTATTTTGTAAAAGGAAAAGGTCTCCATCCCTCTCCAGATGGGAAATTGGCCATCGAATAGTTAATCCGTCAGATCCTCGTGGAAATCAATGCTTATTCTTAGTAATAAAGGGGTATTTTCTAGAAGAATCTCAGCGCTCAAATTCCTTCTCTCTCCCCTCGTGCAGTCTAGAGGCCTCAAGGAGTAGATCCTCAAATTTCTGGTTTTAAAATACACTTGAGTGTTGCCCAGGGGTGTGACACCAGCGCCATGATCCGACGGGGATAAGGGTCTCTCTTTCACAAAGGGTCAAACTCAGGTCCCAGTTTTCAGGGATTTATTTCATTTATTGACTTTGTTGTCGTTGTCCCAGCGTTTCAAAAGGCTCGAGCAAACCAGGGACAGAATCCTGTTAATCTCTTCCCGAGCGGGGATGAGAAACCAGCCCCTTTTGTGCAAGAAGAGGGTTTTCCCCCGATGCGGGGAGCGGGGGGTGCCGTCACCCAACAAACCCCGCTCTCGGTGTCTGACATTTATTGCCATAAACCCCCTCTTCTGCCCTGCATCGCGCTGGAGAAGGCCGGGAGCATTTCTTTTGCCTGAATTGGAATTGAGCCATTTCAGGAGACGGACGGCTCTGAACGATACGTAATTAAAATGAATTATTTACATGGATAATGTAACTCGGGCAAGAGAAATCCGGCTCCGTTTTTTTCTCTCCCCAACTCTGTGCTGCCACTCCAGCACCCGCCTCGGGCTGGAAACCGAACGTCTGTCTCTTCCTGGGGGTATTTCAACCTGAACTGAAAACCGGGAGATTCACCCCAAACTCCCCGGGGGACGGGAGGAGGGACAGGGGGGCTTTAATTGGGTGATATTTATCATATGAACGAAGGGTCAAACTCAGGTCCCAGTTTTCAGGGATTTATTTCATTTATTGACTTTGTTGTCGTTGTCCCAGCGTTTCAAAAGGCTCGAGCAAACCAGGGACAGAATCCTGTTAATCTCTTCCCGAGCGGGGATGAGAAACCAGCCCCTTTTGTGCAAGAAGAGGGTTTTCCCCCGATGCGGGGAGCGGGGGGTGCCGTCACCCAACAAACCCCGCTCTCGGTGTCTGACATTTATTGCCATAAACCCCCTCTTCTGCCCTGCATCGCGCTGGAGAAGGCCGGGAGCATTTCTTTTGCCTGAATTGGAATTGAGCCATTTCAGGAGACGGACGGCTCTGAACGATACGTAATTAAAATGAATTATTTACATGGATAATGTAACTCGGGCAAGAGAAATCCGGCTCCGTTTTTTTCTCTCCCCAACTCTGTGCTGCCACTCCAGCACCCGCCTCGGGCTGGAAACCGAACGTCTGTCTCTTCCTGGGGGTATTTCAACCTGAACTGAAAACCGGGAGATTCACCCCAAACTCCCCGGGGGACGGGAGGAGGGACAGGGGGGCTTTAATTGGGTGATATTTATCATATGAGCTGATTTCTCTTCATCTCTACGTCGAGGTGGTATGTAACCAGCAGAATATTTAATGCAGCAGCGTCTATGGCAGCGACAGTCATTTCAAAAGCGAAGGATTGGGGAGATTTATATCAAAATTTATATAAAATACAAAAAAAAATCCCCGGGGCCGGGCTCGCCCCGCCCACCGCTCGGCGGTTGATTATCGAGCCTGGCCGCGGGCGCTCGGCGCTCGGCTGGCCGGGTCTGGCTCGGTGGCGGGCGCCATGCGGGCATCGAGGCCTTGCGGCGTCTGCGGGGCGGCCGGGGCGGCCCGGTACCGCTGTCCGCGCTGCGCCGCCGCATAGTGAGCGCATTTATCATATGAGCTGATTTCTCTTCATCTCCACGGCAAGGTGGTATGTAACCAGCAGAATATTTAATGTAACAGCATCTATGGCAGCGACAGTTATTTCAAAAGCGAGGGATTGGGGAGATTTATATAAAAATCTATATAAAATACATTAAAAAAATCCCCGGGCCGGGCTCGCCCCGCCCACCGCTCGGCGGTTGATTACCGAGCCTGGCCGCGGGCGCTCGGCGCTCGGCTGGCCGGGTCTGGCTCGGTGGCGGGCGCCATGCGGGCATCGAGGCCTTGCGGCGTCTGCGGGGCGGCCGGGGCGGCCCGGTACCGCTGTCCGCGCTGCGCCGCCGCATAGTGAGCGCCGGGACGGGACGGGGGGCGGCGGGCGGCGGGCAGGGACCGGGGGGCTAGGGGCGGCGGGAGGTTGGGGACGGAAGCGGTGGGGAGGCGGACGGGGAGAGGCCGGGGGGCGGTGCGGCCTGGTCCGCCCGGTGAGGGGTCGCTCGCCCGGTGAGGGGCTGCCTCCGGCCTTACCCGCGTCTCTCCCCCCGCAGCTGCTCGGTGCCGTGCTGCAGGACCCACAAGGGTGAGTGACGGGCGGGACGGTGGGTCCGGTACCGGGGGGTCGTCTCCCCGCCGCTCACGCCGTCTCCTCCCGCAGAGCGATGCGAACCGGAGCCGGGGCCGCAGCCGGAGCGCTGGGCGGCCGGACAGAGCTGCCCCGACGGGGCGAAGGGCGCCGGGCAGGCGGCAGGTAGGTGAGGGGGGGGCGGGCTGTGCGGCACCGGCTCCCCCACCCCGTTCCCGGCCGCTCTGCAGCCCCGCCGTGCTCCCCGCAGGTGGCCCCTGGTCGGTGGAGGACATCCTGAGGGAGGACGAGGAGCAGGACCGCGTCCCGCTGCACAAACTGCAGCTTTTAGGTAATTTTGAGGCTTCGGGAGTCAATTGGGTGTGCAGGTCGGGGGGGGGGGGGGGG